ACTGCAGCTCTCGTGTTTAATTACCGCCCATCTCTGTCAATCGACCTTATAAAAATTATAACCATTTGATGAACAGGCTAATCACTTAATTAATCTTCTCCCTCCACTGGGTTTTGCAGATTAACTAAAATAATTATACTGTACATGTCGCTGACGTTTGACGATAAGCGCGATTAACTGGGTTTTGGCTGGCTTGAACCCTAACCTAATCAGTGATTACTAGTGAGTTTAATTAATCAAAGCTCTTTTGTCTTGGTCTCTGATGACTTTCAACGCCAACTCTTTTGTTGCTACTCTGGCTGCATCGATCCATTCGAGACGGGTAGCTAGCTAGTACTGTTGAAAAGTTCTCGTAGCCCAAACCTACTCAATAGAATACACAAGAGATTCGTATCAACGTGTACTTTTGTTTCGTAAGTTATATTGTCTTGTGCTGCCGAAGCATTTTTTGTTACATAGGCGTGACTATATGGGGTTAGCTAGGGTTTTTGATCAATATGCGAGTCTAATTCCTAGATTGAACTTTCAGTTTGTATCAATTTAGTCTACGAGATACGATTTGGCCAATGCAATTGTATTTCGCAAAAGATTATTGTCAAAACAAAATAGTTTGTCATGAAAATTTCCTTTTTAACTAACTTGCTGGTGAAGTTTTGAATAACTAATATAACAACTACTTCATCCATCACTATAAGTCTTGTGCTCAAGTTTATATTAGCCAATCATCTGACCCGAAATTAATGATAAATAGCTAATAAAAAAACTATGCAGAAATACGTCCAAAACAGATAATATGGTACTAAAAAATGATTGAGATATTAGAACAACAATATATTAGAGAGCTATATATTGGTAATTTGGAGCTATATTTTATAACTTGTATTTCGTATAAATAAATGATATTTCGTTATTCTCTCTACTAGCATGGTACCACATGACTCTCAGGTTGCTTTCCGTCTTCTCTCTTTTAGTCTTTACATTCTCGTAGGTTTTTTTAATTATCCCAAATCCATTTTAACATATTAAGAATTTCAGAATAGTCATATAAAGCACAAGTAACCAGCCACAATAGTCAATTATTAGACGAACTATCGAGAAGAGAACCTTTTTTATAATGAGATGGACAATCCTATTTAAACAACGAGGAGAAAAAAGTAAGAAATATATTGAAACTGAGAAGACAAGAACCCGATATCTTCCGGTATGACTCCTCTCCCGAATCGTGAGTGAAGTCCCGCAATGCTACCCGCGGTATAACCAGTTGACAATGCCAAAAGCCATTTTACTTCACACCAAAAATTTAATATGCCCAAACACCATTTTTTTCTCCACACTTTGCTTCTTTGCTAGAGAGAAAGAGAACTCGTAGGTAGCCCCTGTTTAAAATAATCAGGTGTGAACTCGGTATAAAATAAAAACTTTAGGTGTGAACTGGATATTCGCATGCATACAATACTTTGCCTGATACACACCAATTTACCTAAAGTTCGTGCGCCATTCCAAAATCCCAAGATCGATCGGTTCAGTGACAAGAGAACCCTTCACAGCCAATCCTCTAATAAATTGTAGCTAGCTAGGGCTACGACCATGGGTCCCTACCAAGTGGCAGCTACTGATCATCCACAAAAAGCTCCATCAAGAGACCAATAGAAAATCCATTAGATTCTATCAAAAAATTAGATATGAGCTTGGTTCTTCGATAAGGATGATCCTCAGGATAATATGATTCAGTGCAAAATAATATTGGAAGTGATTTATGGAGTTGATTGTATGAATGTCAAATTTCGAACCAGTTTAAGACTACTTAAGATCTTTATTAGCTTACCTTTGGTTATAAGTTTTATCTTATCCATATTTAGCAACACTTCACCCATTTTCTTTACAACATTGGCTATTATAGTATTGGATTTTTCCCCTATTCTAGTCATTTTGACATCTTTTGGAGTTAGTTTTGTTTATTTTCGAGATACAACTTCATAGTGGGCGAGTACACAAGCACATGGGACCAAACAGGGAAGCGTTCTCGTGACGGATGGAGAATTTGGAACCCAATCATATTATGTGTCCGCCAGCCTTGAAATTGTAAGTTGGACGCTGTAAATTTTTTGTTGGAAAATCTGATGCTCTCTGTTTCTCCTAAGAAAACTCACGATCTACAGAGGTAAACGGAGGATAAGATCGTCAGATTTTAAATCATGAATGTTAGTCCCGTTCTGGCAAGGTTGTATAAACATAAAATTAAGTGGGATTCGAGGACAAGGGTTTTGTGGCACAAAACAACTTCAAGAAAACGTTTGACAAAAGAGGAGCTCATGACACATTGACACTGCTTCTACACTTGGGAATCTTAATTAGACTCGGGAGATAGCTCAACTACAAAGAAACTTCTTCCGAATGGACGAAGTAACAATTTGTAATTAAAATGCGATCGTGCTCATTCAACAACTAGAGAACATCCAACACTTATTCGACGAATCCCAACCTTATAAACATCCTCCCACAAAAGGACCGTGAACACCATTGTCGAATTGAGGTGTTATTGCACAACTCCTCCCATGCATTTCTCTCCAATGCCACCATCATCAATGGAACAAACATGTGCTGGGAGGAGATACTAACCAAATGGGGTCATGTCCGTTGATTACAAATCAAAACTCATCCACATCAAGCGGGATATAGTGAGTGCCAAAAAGGCAGGCTAAATTCCCCCCCCCCCCCCCCCCCCCCCCCCCCCCCCCCCGCCCCCCTTGTTTCACCAAAAAATGAAATCTGGGTTTTCTAGTAGATGGTCTTCCATTTCCATCCAAGAGCCAATAAAAATGTTCTTTTAAATTAGAGGCTGAGATCTACTAAGAAAATAGATAGTGGATTATGGGGGCCACGAACTGACAAAGTAATTGACAAGTGGCCTATTTGTGTCTAACAAAATTTAACTTACATGTATATTCTGGTTGAAAAAAAAATCTATTTGTGTTGAACAAAAATTTATATTTACTGAACAAAAGTACACATTAGAAAAACATATTCGTATTGAACACAAAATATTTGTATTGAATAAAAACCATATTCATATGTGTGATTTGTATATTCATAATTTTCACAACTTTTATTCAAAATAGCATACCACGTATTAAAAATCATATTCGTTCTAAACACAAAACATATTCATACTAATTCCAAAACATATTTGTACAAAACAGAAAACATCTTCATCATTTTTCAGAACTTGCATTCCTCATTCTCTCTTCTATCAGGATCTTTTTAGTTTGGTGCCCCAAAAAAAATTTCGTTAGCTGTATTTCAGTTTGCTGATATCACTATCCACTACTACTTTTTCCTAACAAATTTGAACCATTAATTTAAGGGTTAATACCTTATTTTGGCTCGAACTATGACCATATAATCAACTTTGGCCTGTGGTTTCAGAAATTAACATCCTGGCCCCAACTATGCAGCATATAGACTCAATTGGGCCGACACATGGTTTGATCATCAATTTAGATGGTCAACACGCCATGTCATTGCCTCGTCAGTCTAAAAATTATTAAAAAAATCAAATTCAAATTATTTTTCTAATTTCTATTATTTATCATTTTCAAATTAGGCAAAAAAAAATTTATGTTTTATTTTTTTGGATATTTGAAAATGATAAATTCTATAAATCAACTAAAAATTATCAAATTAAATTTAATAAATTAAAAAATATTATATAAATTATATTTTTTTATTTTTGGGTAATGTTAAATATATAAAATAATTTGATAATTTTTGGTTAATTTATAAAATTTAATATTGTCAAATTACACAAAAAATAAAGAAAATAAATTTATTTTATGTTTTTTATGAATTAGTTTTTGTTAATTTGACTATAAATAATAAAAATTTAAAAAATAGTTGTGAATCAGATTGATGATAGATGAATGAGCTGCTGGCTGCTGCAGAGATGATGATGATGATCATAGAAGGAACTGAAGACTCTGCAGAAGGTTAGGACAAAGCAGCTGAGTTGAGCTGAGCTTCCTTTTACTCAACTTGGTCCTCAGCGAGGACCACCACGACGTCGTTTGTCTAAGTGGTATTCAAATCCACAAGAAGACGACACCGCTTTAGCTATTGACAGGAGATTGTAATTAGTAAATAACGATTGCCACCTGTCAAGCAGTCATTGGTTAGTTTAAGTTATTTACTGTTACTTAGCCATTGATGTACAAATAAACACCTTTACCTTCTTTGATATATATATGAAAATCCCACATAGGAAAGGGCAAGATGCCAATTCCCACAATGGCTTGAGTCTCATCTTATCCTCTTCTCCCTTGAAACCCTAGCTGCTATTATGCTAGGTTTAGAGTTTTCTCAATAGTTGAATTTGAATTTTTTTAATGATTTTTAGGCTGACGAGGCAATGGCATAGCGTGTTGGCTAACGGTCAATTGTGTTGATCATCCAAATTGACGGTCAAACTAGGTGTCGGGCCAATTGAGTCTATATGTTACATAGTTAAAGTCAGGATGTTAATTTTTGAAACCATAGGCCGAAATTAATTATATGGTCATAATTCTGACCAAAATAAGATATTAACTCTTAATTTATCTTAATGAGTTTTTTTTAGGGATCATTGGATGAGAAATGGAGAACCACCCTCCAAATATGAAGTGCCGTGTACCATATCCAAATTCTGGGTTTTCCTTCAAAACATCAATCCCTGTCAAGAAAAGTCCAGACAGATGGTGAACACTTATTGGCTCACATATTTCCATTCCCTTCCATCCATATTCAATTCTCATCAGTAGTTTACCTATTACTACGTCCTTGATTATAAACCAGATTTCGGTGAAAATGACTCCAGCATCCAGAGCTTGATTATTATTATTATTAAAATATGGTATCAATATCATAACTTGGAATTACATAACAATAATTAAACCATCTATGGCTATGGCCTATAGCCCAGATCTGGGCTCCTCTATATATGGGATCCCCAAAACTAGAATTATCACTTCATTCCATTTACAGTGACAGACAGAGAGAAATCGCCATTAATAATGGAAGAGGTGATTGAGAATCACGATAACCTATTGGATCCCCATTTCGATTGGGAGATCCCCTGCACGAATTTCCCGGTCGACAACTTCAGCAGCAATGGGGTTGTCAATAATTTCTTTCCTAATCCCGGCTGGAATAATAACTACGATTACTGGGCAGATAACCATCTCCAAATGATGATTAACAGAGATGGTAATGCTGTGGTGCCTGCTTTCAGTTACTTCCAGGAAGAAGAGCTCTGCCCCTCGTCGACAGCATCGCTGGAGCAGGAATTCACGGCCATGTATTGTTCGGGTTCGTATTACCCGATAGAAATGGCGGCGTCGTTCGGTGGGTTCCCGGAGGAAGCTTTAGCTGCTTCTGTTACTCCGTCGTCGGAAGCAGAGCACGGCGGCGGCGGGTTGAAGGTGGAGGAACCGGTTCAGGCGGCGGCGGCATTGTTTAGCGTGGGAGCATTTCCTCAGAGAAGGGGGCCGGGTGGTGCGGGAAGGGGGAAGAGGGCAGAGTCAGGGCAGCCGTCGAAGAATCTGATGGCGGAGAGGCGGCGGCGGAAGAGGCTTAATGACCGGCTGTCGTTGCTCCGGTCTATTGTTCCCAAAATCAGCAAGGTATAAACACTAAACTGGTCTAATTCAGTCCCTACCCCGTTTTAACTATAAAAAAGGGTTGGGTTGGGTTTTAAAATGTTTGGGTGGGATTTTCAGATGGACAGGACTTCGATCCTCGGGGACACCATAGATTACATGAAGGAGCTTCTGGAGAGAATCAACACTTTACAGCAGGAATTGGAAGATCGGGGTTCTGACGAATTCGCCTCCGCAACCGTTTTCAAGGACTCTGCCGGCGACGGAGGCGAAGCCGTAATGAAGAATGCTCCCAAGGTACAGGAAATTAACAAAAAGGAATCGACTTTTTATTTCCCTTTGAAACGCATTACACAGAGGACTCTGTTTTTTCATAATTTAGCCTCTGACTCTGTGTAATGTGGAAATTTCATTTGGCGGGTGGTCAGTTTGAGGTGGAGAGAAGGAAGGAAGATACGAGGATAGAGATATGCTGTGCTGCGAAGCCTGGGCTACTGTTCTCCACTCTCTCCACAATTGAAGCATTGGGTCTGGAGATTCAACAGTGCGTCATTAGCTGCTTCCACGATTTCGCAATGCAAGCAACTTGCTCCCACCAGGTAAACCACATGTTTGATTACTGTTTTGAGTATGAATCGGTTAGAGAAGTCGCTCATTATAAATTTTATATCATTCTCTTACGCAATCCCATATATGACAATGCAAATTTTCAACGACTTTTTTCCCTTGTTTTTTTGGGTGGCAGGAAACAGAGCAGATAACGGGGGCAAATACAGGGGATGTGAAGCAAGCATTGTTTTCAAATGCAGGGTATGGAGGAAAATGTTTGTAGGCAGAGCAACCAATCAAAAGGGTAATTGAGAGGAAATTTGAAGGACCAATTTGTTTTTATTAGTTTAGTTGTTTGATTGTTCTACCATATCCTTAGATTTTGTTGCTTTTTTTTTGGGTTTGTTAATTTGTTAGATGAGGTTGTAACTTGTAAGATTACTACTGATGGCCACCCATTGTTTCTTGAACAAGTTTTAGTAGGGCCGGCTAATTAGAAGTTTAGAACCATTATGCACTTAAACAATTATGGCTAAACATGCCAGCGCAGCTATATGTAGTTGTGTCGGCATATATTGAATAAAACTTGGTTGCAAAAGAGACAGTTGCAGGCAAGCAATGCAGAATTGCATCAGCGACGTACTGATGGTGTACCAATGTCAGATTCTGCTTGGTGAGTTGGGAGCCTGAAACATTTTGGTTCCCTCTTTGATAAGAAACCAGATGTTGTTGTGAACTCTTATGCAACTCAGAAGATGAACAGGGATGGAGAACACTAACTAAGTCAGTTTCAAAATTGCATAGTTTTGGATCCAAATACACAATCCTTCGTAGGTCATACACATTGAGGGAAACATCTCTGGGAATTCCTACAATGCCTTGAAGTAAGGTAACTTGATTTCACAGGTTGCATTACGTAAAACACAATAGTTGTTATGTAACGATTACGTAACGTATGTGCATCTTCCGTAACAGTTATACAGTCTCATTACGGAAGCCTTACGCAATGGAGGGTTCTTTTAGGTAATGAATATTTATCTCGCGTTACGTAAAGTAATAAGTCATTACGTAAGTCTTACGTAATGCTTCTAATTTAACTGTTACGTAAGAGATAACTGTCATTACGGAAGCCTTATGTAACTGAGACTTCTTTTACGTAATGAATATTAACCTTGTGTTACGTAAAGTGTGAAGGTATTACGGAAGCCTTACGTAATTGAGGCTTCTTTTACGTAATGAATATTAACCTTGCGTTACGTAAAGTGTGAAGGTATTACGGAAGCCTTACGTAACACTTCTGATTTAACTGTTACATAAAAAACAACTATCGTTACGGAAGCCTTACGTAATGGATGTGTATTTTACGTAACAGTTCTAAAATGTCATTACGGAAGCCTTACGTAATTGAAGCTTCTTTTACGTAATGAATCTTAACCTTGCGCTACGTAAAGTGTGAAGATATTACGGAAGCCTTCCGTAACGCGTCCAATATTCCAGTGTCAAATCAAATTAAACTTTACCCTCACTCCATCATCCTCGCCAAGTTGGGTTTCCACATTCATGCCCCCAGCATGTAAACCAATATGGTGACAATATCATTAACACTTAGGGTGAGACGATTAACATGCACACTTAGTTGACTAGTAGTCACATTAAACCTCATCATAAGGTCCTCATAAAGCTGCATCTTCGATTTTTGCTTCTTCAGATGCAAGAGCCCTATAAACCTCATATCATGAATGACGTTCTTTTTATCATCAGATAAACTTTCTATGAGTCCACAAAATTATTGTACGCCACAACGACAGCTCAAATATACCTACATTCTCTGAATTATAAAAAAGTAAATTGTTATTATATAGACAAATGTATAGAGCATATTTCAATGCGTAGAACCAAAACTAAATACCTTTCTGTGTCGGTTTCTTGCTTCTCCTTAACACCATGAATTTAAATTGATTACAACTTCAACCACGACAAATGCATCAAATATAAAATTAGAAACACAATATGTTGGTTCTTACATAAACTCAACAAATAATTAACAAATTCGTAAGCTTAATACCCTTTTCTTTCTTGTTTGCTTTTCACCATCAACCTGTAAAGAAACACCTTCATTCATCTTACTCATTTGTAAGCTATATTGAGTAGAAACTAATATCAATTAAAAAATACTTTAAAGCTCAATGTAGAAAGAACAAAACACTCCACGGTACACTGGACCAGTAAAGCTCTCTTCATTCATCTGACATGGTTGCTGTATTTGTTTTCTAATGTTTACTTTCATATAAATCAAAGGATGAACTTACAAGAGCATAACCAAACTGCTCCCTAAGTATACAAGACCATAAGCAAAATCATAAGCTTCACGGGTATTACTGCACCCAAAAAGGGCCATCCAAAAGCAAGAAAAAGATACAACAGTCAAAAGGATTTGGTGGAGCTATCAATTAATACACATACGTACCTTGCTAGAGGGTATGCAATGGGTTGCACTTCAAAGCCGTATCCGCCAGCGGTGGAGAATCCGGCGTTTGAAGTCCAGTTGGTCTCAATCGACACCTACAACAGGTCTCACAGGGCGCCGCTAACCCCCCTCCGCCGTCCTCAGTCGCCGAACTGTGGGACAGTCGCCACGGGTTCCCCTGCCGCAGCGAGAAGAAGTGTGAGGCGAACGTCGATTCAAAAAGCAATTGTAGGAGGACGAAAAACTGGGGGATTGAGATCGGAGACTTGATTGAGATCGAAGATCAGAACTGGAATCGGAGAAGAGGGTTCTGGAGAAGTATGCGATTTCTGGTACCGTACCGTCGATACGATCTTGGCTTCCGAGGCGCCGCCGATGATCCGGCAGAGGTCGTTTCCCTGTCTGCACCGACGGTTCCGATCAGTCCTGTGGGGTGCCGGGTGTCGTCGTATAAGGGGGAGGCTGTGGGTGCGGCGGCAGACGAGGGATCCCGGCGGATTAATCAATAGTGGATTGGAAAACATAATTTTAGGATAGAACAAAATTCACCGACTCCTAATTGGCATGGGAACACGGTACGGTAGCATTCATCAGTCGGCGAAATTTTCGACGGCGAGTTTTTCGCCGGCTAGCCGTAACCGGTACAGCCGATTTCCCCATCAGCGTGTTTTTTTTTAATTCTCATCAACGGCTGTAATGTTCTATTTTTAATTTTAATGGGCCAGATTTGTGCAAGAAAAAAATAAGTTACCTAACTTACAAAAAACACAAGGTATTGTAGGAGGTTCCAACATCTCTATATTCAACATGATGTTTCACAAGGTAATTGACAATGATTGTGCTGCAATGCAAGCCCATATCTACCCGAAGTTTTTGGAAATCTTTGTCGAAGTCGACATTTTGAAATCCCTCCCAGAAGGCTTCTACATTTGCCATCAACATAAACATATTTGGATCGAGTACAAATACAAGAGGCTGTTTCTTTATGCTATTTTTGTGCAAGGATTGAGCTATTAAAGCAAGATAGGGTGCTGTATAGTACAATTCGTCAAGGTTTCCCTCAAATTGTCTCGAGCAAAATGAATGAGGATATGTGCAAGCCTCGCACTCTGAAGGAATTTAAAGAACCGTTCTTTGAACTTGGTCCTATTAAATTTCCTGGTTCAGATGGACTTGTGGTTATATTTTTCTTGATATTTTTGCAGAAATACAACCTAATATTGACTTGCCTGTACTGTCACACCAGAAAGTGGTCAAGTATAACCACCTACTAATGCATAGTATAGCGGGTTTAAATTTAATTGTCAACCTGGGTCCTAGGTATGATGACTACTCCTTGAAGTTCTTATTATTTAGCGGTTCAACTGTAGTGAAGTTTCAACTAAACTAACAAACACAAGAAGTAAAAGTTGTGGTTCAAGTTTGAGAGAGGTCACCCAGATATGGTTCCCCCTAGATTTCAGTTAAGCCAAGTTGTAATTCACCAAGTCCAGATTCAATGATAATTATACTGCCGAAGGTTCTTACTCAGTCTGAAGTCTTGACTAAAGGTTTCCAGACCCTCTCAATCTGAATACCCGGCGGGTGACTAACCTCCACCGGAGTAAACAAACTAAGGCCCTAATGTTGAAAACCTCATCTACTGGAATAAATCCAGTACAAAACAGTGAATTGACTCCTCGACTAAAGTCGTCAATTCACCACCTTTAATTAAGGGTTCTCTATCAACCTAGGCAGATATTCTCTTTCTAGGTCAAAGAAGGAACTATAGGAATTTGATCAAGATTCATGCAATTCAGTAAACCATGCCTCAATTGAATATAATTGATGTCAAATAACATGTACTTGGGTTCATACAACCAAACCTAACATACAAATCTAGGGTTCTTCATACCCAGGTGAGTGAGAGAGTTTACTCCATAGAGAGAGAAGAGAAATTAGCTTCAGATGCGGAAATCATTCTGTGAAGGATGAAAATCGGTCCAGACCCTCTCAATCTGAATACCCGGCGGGCGACTAACCTCCACCGGAGTAAACAAACTGAGGCCCTAATGTGCAAAACCTCCTCTACTGGAATAAATCCAGTATAGAAGAGTGAATTGACTCCTCGACTAAAGTCGTCAATTCACCACCTTCAATTAAGGGTTCTCTATCATTCTAGGCAAATATTCTCTTTCTAGGTCAAATCAGGAACTATAGGAATTTGATAAGGATTCATGCAATTCAGTAAACCATGCCTCAATTGAATATAATCAATGTCAAATAACATGTACTTGGGTTCATACAACCAAACCTAACAAACAAATCTAGAGTTCTTCATACCCAGGTGAGTGAGAGAGTTTACTCCATAGAGAGAGAAGAGAAATTAGCTTCAGATGCGGAAATCATTATGTGAAGGATGAAAATCGGCTTCTGGTAATCAATTAGCGCTTCTCCAAGCTTCAATCGAGCTCCAAAGGTGTTTAATCTCGATCTAGGGCACTTGGAGGTTCAGTTCGTCGCTTTCTCTCTCTAGGTTTCTGCTTTCTTGAAGATGGTTGGAACCCCCCCCCCCCTTTTTCTTTCTTTGGTTTGTTGTTTTTATTCAAGGGTCCCAACCTGTTATTTTCAGAAAATGGGGCTCCCACGTATTAAAGGTTTTGAGGGAGTCCGACTCTTACCGGCCATGCTAGGTGCAGATGTCTCGAGCCTCGTGCGGGGGAAAAGAAATGTAAGGAGGCTGGAGATAGTAGGTGAAAATTGGGAACGGATTCCCGTCTCCCCTTACACACTTTCATCGCACAATTTAGAGCACCTTTTTTTCAAAACATGATACAGGAGTCCATGATAGGTAGGGAGTCTACAATACCACACAATTCAAGGGTCCTAAGATCACTAATGCACACAATCAACCAACACAATATGATTAAGAAAGGAGACTTCTTAAATGCATCAACATCCTCCATAGTGCACACTACTTCCCTAGGTTGCATATTACTATAAAGACTGTCAATTCAAAGCATACTAAGCAGGCAATTGAAAGGAACACGTGCTTCGAGCCCTCAAATTAAAATTTAGACAGTGGACTAGGCTCAAAGCGCACAAACATAACTAAGCAGTCACATAGACCCCCCCCCCCAACACAGACACACACTTAAGTTTGACATTGCTGACTCACTCCTACTGTCACTCTAGAAATTGGCCAAGTGTAACCACTTCCTAAAGCGTAGTATAGCGGGTTTGGGTTTTAATGTCAACTCGGGTCCTAGATTTGATGACTACTCGGTGAATTCTTGTCATCTAGCAGTGAAACTTTAGTGCAAGTCCAAATAAACAAACAAACAAAGCAAGTTGAACGGTTGTTTTCAAGTCGAGAGAGGTCACCCGGATATGGTTCCCCCTAGACTGCAGTTAAGCCGGATTGCAATTTACCAAGTTCAGTTTCCATGAAAGTTGTACTGCGGAAGGTTCTTAAACAGTCTGAAGTCTCGACTAAAGGTCTCCAGACCCTCTCAATCTGAGTCTCCAGCGGGCGACTAACCTCCACCGGAGTAAACAGATTGAGGCCCTAACGAACCAAACCTCCACTACCGAATTGAATTCGGTACAGAATAGCGAATTGGCTCCTCGACTAAAGTCACCAATTCGCCACCTTCAATTAAGGGTGCTCTATCAACCTAGGCAGATATTCTCATTCTAGGTTAAAGCAGAAACAACAGGAATTTGATCAGGATTCAAGTCATTCAATCATTCAAGCCTTAATCGAATATAATCAACTCATGAAATCTGTACTTGGGTTCATACAATCAGACCTAACATACAAATCTAGGGTTCTCCATACCCAGATGAATGGGAAAACTACTCCATGGAGAGAGAAGCAAAAGCAGATTCAGACGCGGAAATCATACTGTGAAGGATGAGTTTCTGCACCTGGTTGTCAATCGGCACTTCTCCAAGCTCAAGCCGGGCTCCAATGGTGATGTAGATCAAGCTATGGCACTTGGGAACTCTTATTCGTCGCTTTCTCTTTCTAGGAATCGCTCTGTCTCTCTAAAACTCAGAACCCTTGATTTTTGGCCTTCTTTTCCCTTAAAAGGCTGGCTGTCGCGATACCCGGTCGAAATACCCGGTCGGGAATTTTGGGTCTCGACCGGGTATAATTAAAACGCGCGTTTTCATGTCAGGGGAAAATCCCCGGTCTGTCCCAAGAATCCCCGACCGAGGGTTTTTGCATCCTGCCCGGGCCTCCTTCTGTTTCTCACGGACGCCCAAAGCCAAAAATCCCCGGTCATGGCCAGATAATACCCGGTTGGGTATTTGAGCCCATGACCGGGTATTTTCCTCCTGCAGCACACTTCGATCCAACTTCGCTCTTTTCGACCCAAAACTCGTTTCTTCGTCTTGATTCCAACGCCGGGCCCTGAAATATGACATAAACACACAACCTCGCGTGAAATCGGCTTAAAACACGAGAGTCAACCTCTCAAACGGCTCAAGAATAGGGGTAAAAACAGGTGTAATTATTGGTCTATCAAACTCCCCCACACTTAACCGTTTGCTTGTCCCCAAGCAAACCTAACTCAAACCAATCCAACTCTCCAGACCTCTATAGCAACTAACAACCCCGATCATAGGTAGAGGATTTCCTAGATCATTTAGCAACTTACGAGGTCAACCGACGCACAAGTCATCTCATAGCTTCTTCGGCGAGAGCGCTAGTCTCGAGTCGCCATCATGGCAAATAGTGAACAAAGGACAAATGAATCGTGGACGAACGGACTCTCAAAAACAAAGGATCGTGGACTCACCTTTTTAAGGTGCTCTATTTTCTTCTTGAAGATGGTTGGAACCCCTTTTCTTTATTTTTTGCTTGTTTTTCTGTTTTTTTTTTCTTTTTTTTTTACTTTCAAGGGTCCCAACCTGCTTTTCAGAAAATGGGGGCTCCCACCTAGCAGAGGTTTTGCGGGAGCCCGGCTCTTACCGGCCGTGCCAGGAGCGGATGTCTCGAGCCTCGTGCGGGGGAAAGACATGTAAGGGGGGTGGAGGTAGTAGGTGGAAATTGGGAACGGATTCCCGTCTCCCCTTTCACACTTTCGCCCTATTCGCACGGGAGACGTTATTTTAAAGCACATTTTTTGAGCACCTTTTATTTCAAAAACATGATACAGGAGTCCATGACAGGTAGAGAGTCCACAACACCACACAATTCAAGGGTCCTAAGATCACTAATTCACACAATCAACCAACACAATATGAAGAAGAAAGGAGACTTCTTAAATGCATCAACATCCTCCATAGTGCTACACTACCTCCCTAGGTTGCAAATTACTAAAGAGACTGTCAATTCAAAGCATACTCAGCAGGCAATTGCAAGGAACACGTACTTGGAGACCTCATATTTAAAAATTTGGACAGTGGACTAGGCTCCAAGCACACAAACAGATCTAACGCAGTCAAAAGATAAACATCCCCCCACACTTAAGATCGACATTGCCCTCAATGGAGAAGAGGGAAGGAAAAGGGGAACAATGTTACCGGTGTGCACGGACTGCAGGAGACTGGAAGTGGACCAGTCGGAATGAAGCGGACTGGAGAGAGGACCAGTCAGGCATAAGCACAGCTAAAGGAAACCAAAGAGCTCAAACACAATACGTTAGGTCCAATGGCAGCCCAATAGTACAACATCCAAAATAAAAAGAGAGAAACTAAACCGACACAAGACAGTTTGCACGCTGACAAAAACAAAAACACTCAAAACATGCCACTAGGGGCCTCCTAGACCGGTGAAGTCGATC